ATATAAAACACTTATTAGGCTACCCAGTGTGTTCGTCAGATTTTAACAGCATATATAAAACACTTATTAGGCTACCCAGTGTGTTCGTCAGATTTTAACAGCATATATAAAACACTTATTAGGCTACCCAGTGTGTTCGTCAGATTTTAGCAGCATATATAAAACATTTATTAGGCTACCCAGTGTGTTCGTCAGATTTTAGCAGCATATATAAAACACTTATTAGGCTACAGATTTTAACCACAGAGAAGAGCTACTTATTACATGTTAACAACTTACTTAAAATAACTTTATACAGTCAGCCAGCTTAAACAGTAAGTACATTTTAGATCCAGTTGGACATTTACAGAAATACTCTGTTTTAACAGGATATAACGAGAAGAACTTACCAGATTTTAACAGACTTGTAGCTCTCTTTGCTCCCACTAGACAAGGTAATCCGTATTCTCTTGCCACTACGGCACCTAGTGAGAGATTCTTAAGTTATAATCAATTTATGATCTTTTAAATCGTTATTTGAATATTTCTTGTAATAAGCTACCTCGAAACAAACATCTTTACAGAAACCTGCACAGAATTGTTCTCATGATTACCCTGCTATATCCTACAAGTGTTTACAATATTATATTCAATTTCAACATATTAATGAAAAGAATAGAAATTCCTGGTATTACCAACGAATATCACAGAAAAGTTTTTTCTATGTTTCTATCAAAGAGTCGACTACCATTAAAAAATCAGTATTGCATCTCCAGAAAGTAAAACTCTATAAAACTATTACTTCTGTGTATGTTATCAGACCTCGTGGCTCATCAATTTTCTTACACTGGCAATCCTCACAACGCTTTAACTGAGCATGAAATATCACAGCTCACTGACTCACCATACCAGACTTCATAAATCACTGACTCGCACTGAAATTTCAAACCTCACAGCTTAAAGACTTACCATGAGATATGGGATCTTACAGCTCACCATGTTATATCAAACTCCGTAGCTCACTGACTCACCATCTGATATCAAACCCCATAGTTTATTGACTCACCATGAGATATCATATCTCACAGCTCATTGACTCACCATCTGATATCAAAGCTCACTGACTCACCATATAATATCAAACCTCACAGCCTACTGACTCACCATATCATGTCAAACCTCACAGTCTACTGACTTACCATATTATATCAACCCCATAGCTCACTGACACATCATGTTATATCAAACCCTGTAGTTTATTGACTCACCATGAGATATCATATCTCACAGCTCACTGACTCACCATGTTATATCAAACCCCGTAGTTTATTGACTCACCATGTTATATCGAACCCTGTGGTTTATTGACTCACCATGAGATATCATATCTCACAGCTCATTGAATCACCATGTTATATCAAACTCCGTAGCTCACTGACTCGCCATCTGATATCAAAGCTCACTGACTCACCATATAATATCAAACCTCACAGCCTACTAACTCACCATATTATATCAAGCCCACTGACTCACCATGAGATATAAGACCTCCCAACTCGGTGACCACCCCAGCCAGAAGGGGGAAGTAAGGACTCCAACCAATGTCTGTAGAGCGAGTAATCAAAATATCACCAGGCTAGAGAAAAAAAAAAATATTCAAAATTATTTAACATTGTTTAACTATATGACCATTTGATATTTTAAAATTACTTATAACTACGATAAAATATCCATATAATAGATTAATTATGTTAAGTGTTCACAAAAGTGTTCTTTACGGCTACAGAAAGGCTGTGGTTTAACATATAACGTTCATCATGATTCTCTCCAACATCCATATAATAGATTAATTATGTTAAGTGTTCACAAAATGTGTTCTTTACGGCTACAGATATAACGTTCATCATGATTCTCTCCAATATCCATATAAAAGCAGGGAACATGAGAGTAACACTTGATTTAAATAACCGATAACGTTCTCTGCAAATGATTGTGGATTTTACCTTGATTGTTGCAGCATCTTCGAGCTGTATAACAATCCTTGCAGTACTTTTAACAGTTCCTTGACTTACTGGAGTTCCTGAAAAATTATACACAAACATCAATTTGTTATGTGTTCACACCGTCTTTTTTATAAACTCAATTGAATAATTGTGGTAAAGTTAAAAACTAACTAATTTCTACACGATAGATCTATCCAAAGAGTTTTAAAAGTTTTAGTATCTTATAAATTCAGAAGTGAAACTGTATAAAACCAGAAACAACATCTTCCCAATAAACAATATTGGACAAATAAACAGGCTAGACTTCACTCGGTACTTGATATGTTAAATTATATAAATATTAGGTTATCATGAAATTAATGTTGCATTTTGGAACACTTTTATTAACCACCCCCCAAAAAATGTACATCACATATAATAGTTAAACTAACTGCTAAATGTCATATTAAGTGTAGCCTATAT